TACTCTACTTTTATTTGTTTCGGTTAATAACAACCATTTATGCTACTCCACTAATAATCAGAAAAGATCATTGTCTTCAACATAGTTACAACATCAAATTTCTGAACATAATCTCTTCACTAAAACCACAACATAAACCGCAACTTTTTTTATAATAACATATATGAATCCGGCGCGTAGCGCCGGCACACTACTAGTACAATATAATTTTGCTTCATTTGAAATAGGAAAATAGGATGACCAAAAAATAGGAAAATAGGTGTGCTTGAGTATAGTGTTAAAAAAATTTCTAACCTTTTTATATAAAATTCATAGTTTAATTGTATTATTAAAAATTAAACTTTATTTTAAACTATAATCATTCAAAATACTGAAATTAAATAAGTTCATATCATATATTTTTACCGAAATATTTTTTTCACTAATAAAACACTATTACTTACTGTTTATGTTATGAAAACCACATTTTGTTCACCAATCTAAATTTATTAGTATATGATTCCTAGATCTAATATATAATATCTTAAAAGCATTTCAAAACCTTCACTGTGTTTTTAATAACTATTTACTGTAAATTTAAAAATACTTTTCACCAGTTGAATATTATTCTGCACCATATATTTTATCAAAAACACATTTATCATACATACGCAATTGCATCATAACGCATTTTCATTTACACCTCTATATTATCGAATCCCGATTACCATTTATATCCTTAATTTTTTGTAATGTGAAATACGTTACATCAAATGTAGTCTAAACTATTGTTTGTATATCCTATGCATATTTATGGCTAATTAATTATCTCTAGTTACTATTTTTCTAATTCATATCGGACAAAAAATTTTAAATTGCAACGAAATACTAGGAAATTATATATTTCAGAAAATTATATTAATAATTATAATTTTAACTTAATTTTATCATAATAATAGTTTATTAACATATAGCGGTTTTTATTATATATTAGATAACTTTGCTGCCTCATATAAAATTCTCTCACACCCCTATATATTAATTGGGAAACATTTGAAAAGTTGTAACCTTAAATTTGTATTAATTAAAAAAATAATTAAATCATACGTGACACCTCTCTATGTCTTCTATTTCAATTTAGAAGGATTTTAGATCACTTCATATAAAACATAGTTTTAAAATATGATATGTTTGTCTCATAAGATATATCAAATTAAATAACATATCAAACTAAATCTCCTATATATTGTTTTCTTAAATAAAACCAACGGAGTTACCTAATGTGATTAAGATATATATGACTATTAATGGTTTTAAATAATAAATCTTTGTTAACAATATGTATGCTTTATATTATTTTTTTTAAATTTTTATTATTAAAATGCATTACACAACTACACTAGTCATATAATAAAAATTTAGTTTTTTTTATATATGTTGTATTTTGAAATTTACAAAACGAGTATGAATTACTAAAGCTGTTAAAAATATCACATAAACTTTTATGATCAAGGTCTAGTTTTGTTAAAATAAGTTACAATGATTATAAAATCATATGAATAAATAATTTTAATTTAATAGGTATTTATGTTAATATATATATATATATCTCATATCATATGAATAAATAATATTATTTTAAAAATAATTATAATTTAAAATTTAAAACTTAATTGTTTTATAAAATTATTTTTTATTTAGAAAAAGTTTTTAAAAATATAGTTTTTGATATTATTAGACAAATAAATAAATTATACTAAATTAGCTTTTAAGATTTATATACTCTAAATGGAAATATTCTACCAACTGCTTCTTAAGAAAGCATTAGAGAATTTGATAATGTTCTACCAACTAAGTCTTGTGACACTCCGTTTATTTTCCATCACTCGAACATTGAAAAGTGAAAAGATGTATGAGCTGTACCCATTAAATTCTGAATTTTGATCTGCAGTCCTAGTTCCAATTGTTTCTAATCCTATGTATAGATAGTTATAAAACTTCAAAATTTTAAATACATATGAAAATAATCATATGTTAATTTTAAATTTGTTAATACTAAAATTTTATATTTTAATTACATACAATCACTACGCACAGACGCATGTCTTATAAGTGATTGAGTTAAGAGTTAAGACATGTGCGAAGTACTTGATTATTTTTATTAACTTTAATGGCTAAACCGTTTATATTTCTTTGTGCAAAGAAACAAACACCAAACGACACTTTAGACAAGCCATATTAATTTATACTGGTACATTGTAACATGTCACAATCTACTACAATATAGTGTTTTTTTGGTGTAAAATGTTAAATTCATACCAAAATTTTTTTTATAGTTTTTTACAGAATTGTTGCTTGGCAACTTATTACAATAGAAGAAAGAATAGAGATTAAGGAGAAATAACAAAATGAAGGTAACAACCAAATAGAGAAACCGAGCTGTCAGGAGGAGCGGAGAGAGATAATAGTCTATCTCATATTGCACGATCCACACGGAGAAAGATGGCTGCCTCTGACAGAGATTCATTCAGAAAGATCCTAGCATTATGCTCCCTCCAAGTGATGTTGACTGTATTACCTGGAGAAGAAGCTTCAAAATGGTGGTTTGCGCAGTTTGAGAAGGCTGGGCTGTTTTTGAATGACGATGACAGCGGAACTGATGTCCATTGGAGGAGCAGCGAGAAAACTTCCACAAAAAATGAGCCACAAA